GCAAGGCGCGATCCTGAGCGGCATCCGCAACGACGCGACCAACTCGTTGTTGTTGGTGGACGTGACGCCCTTGTCTCTGGGCATTGAAACCGTGGGCAAGGTCATGTCGGTGCTGATCAAGCGCAACACGGCGATCCCGGTCAAGAAGACGCGCGTGTACACGACCGAAGCCGACTACCAAACCCAAGTGAACGTGGTCATCTACGAAGGCGAGCGCGCGTGCGTGGACCACAACAACAAGCTGGGCGAGTTCACGATCTCGGGCATTGAACGCGCCAAGCGCGGCGAGCCCCAAGTGGAAGTGACGTTCGAGATCGACGCCAACGGCATCTTGAACGTGAGCGCCAAGGACAAGAAGACCCACGCCAAGGCCGAGACCACGATCAGCAGCAACGGCGGCCGCTTGAGCCAGGAAGACATTGACCGCATGGTGGCGGACGCGGAAAAGTACAAGAAGGACGACGCCGAAGTGCTGCGCAAGATTGAAGCGCGCAACAACTTGGAAGGGTTCATCTACCGCGCCTTGGAAATCGCCCGCGAAAAGGGCGACAGCCAGGCCGAAAACACCATCCGCGAAGCCCGCGAATGGTTGGAAGACCACGAAGAAGCCACGCTTCGCGAGTTGGAGGACAAGAAGCGATTGTTGGAACGATTGATCAAGTACTAATAAGTCCAACCAACGAACCAAGTGGAGATGATCTAATAACGTCTGATATTCTATTCCCATTCTTGTACACACACTCGTGTTTGTGTTACTTCACAGTAAAAGTGTCTGGAAGAAATATATACTCTGGAGTATCGGTGATGTGCACTCTATTGGTGATATCGGATTGGCTGAATACGGGGCATTTTGGACCTTTATAGCCAGCCAATCAGTACACCTATCCATTCTGCTACACGTAGTATTATTAATATATTTACTGTTATTAATATTAATAACAGTAAATATATTAATAATACTACGTGTTAATAGTATCTCTTGTGAACAAATCCCTCCGTTGTCAAAGGGTCCATTCGAGGTGTCAGATTGGCTGAAAACATGCACTTTTAGTCTTTGTAGCCAACCACATGTCTCAATTTGGTGCTTCTCGCGTCAAATCAACACGCGCGGACCAAATCTTCGAGCGTCGGCCTTCTCGCACGTGGTGGATACATACCGATAGGTGAGAGCCATTGACGTCTCGCACGACGTTGTCAACATGGCACAAAGTACTGGATCGGTGTGGGATATCTTGGATGGATCCAAGGACATCGTCGGTCGTCCTGCAACGGCCAGCCCAAACGCATCGCACGACCAGCGACGGGCCGAATCTACCAATTCAGCAACTCCAGAACACACAGCGGCACAGCTGTGGCAACATAGCCAAGACCTGACCATGCTTCGACGGACACCGCCTTCGTACTTTGTCGTGCAGAGGGGAAACCAAGTAACGTTGCCGTTGCTTCGGTGGACGTTTCGCGGGTTTTCCATGGCGTTGTGGATGCGTTTGCCGCTGTCCCAAGAAGGCAAGAAGATTCGACTGTTCAAATTCTACAGCACGAGCAAAAGTCAGGGCATCGAATGCTGGATCACCCCCCACACCGACGACAGAATGGCGTTGACCGTGTCGTCCATCACCGACGACAAGGGGTGGCGCCACGTGAGCTCCCAGTTCCAATGGACGCCGGACACGTGGCACTTCGTCGTGGTGTGCCACCGCCAGCACTACCTCAAGAAGAGCCACGTCGTGAGCTATGTTGACGGCATGCGCGTGATAAACGAAGACCTGTCCTTTCCGACACCCCTGGGTCCCATGGTGCAATGCCTCATCGGTGGCGCCGACGTCAACACGACCATGGGCACGAGTCACATGTCCGGCATGACCATGTACGAAGACGAGCTCCATATCGACGCTATCGCGGCGTTGTATCGACATGGCCCCACGGAAACCTGCTTGCGACGCATCCCCACGGGCGTGAGTCCGTTTCTGCACTCCGTCGTCGCGTCCGACGCGCTGTGCCCTCTCACTAGCGTGGATAAACGATCTCTTGGCCAACTCAGCTCGAATGCAAAGGTCGTGTTCTCGTTCAACGCCCAAGATGCGTTGCTCGTTGTGCCAGACGAAAGCCCGACGAAGCAGCCGCCGCCGCCATCTCCCATTTCCCCGTCCTACCTGTGCGTGCAGTGGACGAGCGAAGGCGACGTCGACAGCGACGCCGGCTGGACGCGGTTCAAGATGGACGCGGCGTTTCTCCCGCAGGAGCAGATCCACCTCGACGGCGCCGTCTCGGTCGTGGCGCAGCCCAACCGCAGCGACGCCTGGTTCCGCCACGGCGGCATCCTCGCCATCCCCGTGTTGCTCGACCAGTTGCTCACGTCCAACTCGATCACGGCGACGTTGCTTAGCGATGCGCTGCACGTGATGCAGGAGTTGCTGCGGTCGAGTGTGGCGCACCAAGAAGACATGCTGCACGGGTACGGCTTCCACGTGCTCAGCCACGTCCTGCGAATGCATGCTACGCACGACATGGCCGACCTCTTGACCCCGAGTATCGCCACCACGGTCGTGGAATTAGTGTTGAACCTGTGGCCCGAATCTCTCGACAAACCAATTGCCGAGCATGCGATGCTGCCCCCATTGTTGTTTGCTGCGGGTGTGCACGGGTTGCTGCTCGACTTTCACCTGTGGACGTTAGCTCCATACAAGACGCAGAGCCTGCTCATTCAGCAACTCGTGGCCTTTGTAACCCAGCATCCGCGGTGCTTTGAAGGCGTTGTCCAAGCCCAACACATCCTCGACATCTTGCGCACGTTTTACGCCGCTGACGTCAACGTGCTCGAATCTGACAAGACAAAGCAGCAGGAGCAACGGCAGTGGATCGACGAGTGCGTGGCCTCGCTCGTGCTGCTGCTGCATCGGTCGCTGGCCGCCGCAGACGACAAGGACGTGCTGCACGTCGCCGCCGTCCGGCTTCCGTTTCGCGTCGTCACAGATCTGCGCGCGATCGGTCGGTTTCTCCTCACGGCCACAACAGACAACGCCGTCGTCACGCGCGCCGTTTTGGCCCATTTGTGCGACACGGTCGAGAAATCCGAGCCTTCCAAAACCATGGCGTGTGTGGCCGCCAACGTCGTCGAGGCGGCCGTGCATTTGATGGGTCCAAAGCACGGCTGGGGCGTGCGCACCTCTGCCATGCGTCTGTTTGTGCTTCTGTTTGAATGGCTCGAGACGGACAGCGGGCGGTCGCTCGTCCAGTCGGTTGAACGGACGTACCAAGCCGAATCGGTGGCCGACCCCAAGCTCTGGAACGACCTGGCCCACGATAATGTGTTCAACATGGGGCTACAGCACTCGATGGTGCTCAACGACTTGACCAGCAACCGCCACAGCATGGACATCCTGCCTCTGTCGGACCAGTCGACCCTTCCGCCCCCACCCCCCCCCCCCCCTTTGTCTTCTTCTTCGTCTCCACCTCCTCCGCCAACCCGCAAAGAGTCGAAAGATGCAAGCAAGCAACAACCGCCTTCGTGGTGGAAGCAACTGGTGGCGTCGTCGAATCGACTGGTGCTCACGTACGCAGACCGCCTGACCGTGCTTCGGTCCATTGCGCTGCGCCAGATGAGCCTCCACCAAGCAAAGTCTTGCCACGACGCTGAATCATTGCACTTTGCGGTCGGCGCGAGCATGCAGTGGCTGCTTGCGCTGCCGCTGCGAGGCCTGCTTCCGTTCGTGTCGAGCTTGTTCTTGCGTTGTTCGACGACGATCGAGTCCCAATGCGACCGCGAGAAGATGCTCATGGAAATCAGCGTCGGCGTCAAGACCGACGCTCAAGTGCAGTTAGACTTGTTGGCTCAGCCGTCGTGGGTCGTGTGGCTCGGCGACCTCTTGGCGTCATGTGAAAGCGACGACCCCACAGGCCAAGACCTCGTACTCGACACGATCGTCACGCTCCTGTGCCGGGCGCTGTACAACTCCAACGGGTGTTTGTGCGTTGACCAGCTGTTTGCGAGGTTTCCGAGTCTGCCGTGGCGCCGCCGGGTGCTGGCGCTGGTGTTCCTGCGAACAGCCCGCAACAAATCCATGCTCAGCCGCGCCGTGAGTGAAAATCTGTACCGGTTGTTGATGCTCGCGACGTTTTTACTGGCTCAAGAAGCCCCCGACCACGTCGAGTACCTCTTGACGGCGTGTGTAGACGTGACGGAAATGCTCTTGGAAAGCACCCACAGCAAACACCGCGCAGGCATCATCCCCGGGCTGCGACTGTGTCGCATGTACCTGTCGCAGCTTCCGACGTCACCACTTCCCCGGCGGATGCTCCAGCTGCTCGCCAGTGGGTTGCAGCAAGAAGTGAGCCAGCGCCTGCCCATCGACGAGAGCATCCAAACCCACGACATGCTGCTTCGGGTGCTTACTAGTCTGGCGGTGGCACATCCGTCCGTCGACTGCAGCGAGCTGGTGCTGCGGATCGCCACGTGTGGCCTCTTTGACAAGCAAGAGGAGCTGTCCGTCGATCGATTGAGCTCCATGGACGCCGCGTCGGCCGTCCAGCACGTGTTTGAGATTCTCGTGGTCGGTGCACGCGAGAGTTTGCACGAGGACGAGGTGGTCGATTGGTCGCTGTGGGTGCCCAAGTGGTTTCCCCAGTCAAGTGTGTCGAGTTCCCCCATTGCGTCCGTGGTCGCCGCTGCCTCCCAAGTAGAAGAGAAGCGGATGGGCGAAACAATCAAGGATATTGCCAAGAAAGAACTCGACCGCATGACCTCCCTCGATGCAGGCGTGCACCGGCGGCAGCAGTGGACGGCCCGAAGCTGGGACCAGTGCCGATACAAAGTGCTATCGGAGCAAATCCGTTGGGAGGATGTGTCGTTGGATGGTTGCTGCAGTATCTACCCCCCCACCTCGTCCCCTCCAACGCATGAGTACCAGTTGACGCGGCATGAGACGCCGTTCCCGTCGCGGCGACGGCATCGCATGGACGTGTACTTCAAGCCCACGCTATTGTGTGCACCAACGACTCCTCCCCCCCTGGTCATGTCGACGGACGAACTGGAAAAAGTGGGCCGGGCGATCGCCACACAAGGCGGGGCCGTTCTCAACAACGAGACCATCCCAGACGACAATACATCCGACTTTGACGCCATGCCACCGCCGTCGCCGCGACGGACAGACGCCGACGAAGCTGATGACAAGGACGACGAGGATGAGGTCATGTCGATGCCGTCGCACGGGTTTGCGTTCCTCCATCCGTCGAGCGGACGGGGCCTAGATCCCAACGATCGCGTGTACTTGCAACCCCTGGTTCGAAAGGTGGTGCCGGAAGGACTCGTCCTGGGCTCATTGAGCATTTGCGACCACGCGGCCGTGTTCCAGCCCACCCAGTCGAGCGAGTCGGACGACGTCGAAGTGGCGTCTGGTCTGCAGGGGACGCACCGGTGGGCGTGGAAGGACGTGGTCGCCGTGTACTTGCGGCGCTTTCGGCTGCGCGAGTCGGCGGTCGAACTGTTTGTCCAAGACGGAACGGCCCACTTTCTCGATTTCCACGTGCCTGACTTGTCGTCCGTGGCCGTTCGAGACGAAAGCGTGCGCCTCATTCTCGCCATGTGCCCCCGCGCAACCATCAAGCAGTGGCCGATGATGTCTCCCAGCCGCCTCATCGGCAACTTGACCAAGGAGTGGCAGGCCCGCCTCGTGTCCAACTACGATTACTTGATGGTACGAAAGTAAAACAACATTTTTTTTCTAGTTATTTTGGACCTTCATTTGTAGGCGTTGAATACGCTGTCGGGCAGGTCGTTCAATGACTTGACGCAATACCCAGTGTTCCCGTGGGTGTTGTCCAACTACTCGAGCGAACATTTGGATTTATCTGACCCGGCCAACTACCGCCCTTTGAACCAACCCATGGGAGCGCTCAACCCCGACCGACTGGCCGAGTTTTGGGAGCGATACCATAGCTTTGACGATCCGGTATCGTCCAAAATATATATATATATATACCTATCGACAATATTTGAAACAGAATGTGTCGTTGATGCTATGCTATATATATGTGTGATGTGGGTTTTTGTAGGTGATTCCCAAGTTTCTGTACGGGTCGCACTATTCGACGGCCGCGGGCAGTGTCTTGTACTACCTCATGCGACTCCAGCCGTACGCGTCGCTGCATAAACTGACGCAGGGCGGATCGTTCGACCTGCCCGACCGCGTGTTCAATTCCGTACGAGACGTCTGGAACATGTGCAATTCCAGCATGTCCGAGGTCAAAGAGCTGACGCCCGAGTGGTTTTCGACGCCTGCTTTTCTGCGCAACGTCCATCAGTACGACTTTGGCACGCGGCAAGACGGCATCAAAGTGGGGGACGTGGAGCTGCCTCCGTGGGCCCAGAACGACCCCGACCAGTTCATCCGTCTTCACCGCGCCGCCCTCGAGAGCGATCACGTGTCGGCGCACCTGCACGAGTGGATCGACCTGATCTTCGGCTTCCAGCAGCGGGGCCCCGACGCGCTAGCTGCGAACAACGTGTTTTACTACCTGACGTATTCCGGTCTCGTGGATCTGGACTCGATCGACGACCTGCACCTTCGCAACGCCATGGAGCAGCAGATTGCGCACTTTGGCCAGTGTCCGCAACAACTGTTTCGAACGCCACACCCGGCGCGCGGGCCGTCGTCGACGCGACCTCTGCAAGAGTACCCTCCGACCATCACCAAGGCCCTGACGAGTAGCCTCGGCATGTGTGCGGTCAAAGTGCTGGGCGACCGCGTTGTGGGGGTGAATTCGCTGGGGGTGATTGAGCTGCACCACTGGAAGCTCCAGAAAAGCAAAGACGGAGGAGACAAGTGGGCCTTCAAAACCGAACGGGACGCGAGTCCGTTCGACGTGGTCCCGCGCGTGCCCGTGTACGCGACGACCGCCGTCCCCACCGTCGCCATTTCGTCACAGGGTCGCGTGATCGTCAGCGGCGGGGCGCCCACCGGCACCGTCCACATCCGCCTCGTCGACGTCGAGAATGGCCACGTGATGGCGCGGGCCAGCGTCGACGGACACGCCGGCGTCGTCACCTGTTTGGCCATGGACGTCCTTGGCGACGACGAGTGTTTTGTCTCTGGGTCCACGTACGTAGTACCTACCTACTAGTATACACGCAATCACCGTGGAGACTCATGATAATGATATCTGCCTAATGTAGAGATTGCTCAGTGCTGCTGTGGCAGCTGTCTCACATGAACAGCCCGTTTCGACCCCCGCGGGTGTCGTCGTGTCCGTTGATGGCGTTCCGAGGCCACAGGACCACCGTCTCGACGTGTGCGCTCAGCGTGCCGCTGGGGCTCGTCGTGAGTGCGTCCGACTCGATGTGTTTGGTGCACAATTTGCACTCGGGGGTCGTATCCTTTGGCTTCAAGAGCCCGCCGCTTTCGTCGTTTCAAAGCGTTGCGATTGCCTCGTCGGGATACGTCGTTGCATGTGCCAAGGTACAAACAACAGTGTAACTCTGTCACATGTTTATGTCGATTGACTGTGCCTTGTGGATATATCTAGACGACCAACGACACGAGCGTGGTCCAAGTGTACAACTTGATGGGGACGTGCATTCGACAGCATGCGATGGAATTGTGCACGGCGCTTCAACTGTCTAGAGACGGATCGCTACTGACCGCTAGCCTCCCGCAGTGTCTTCGCAGCTACCGCGTCGACGAGTACGCAATGCTTTTTCCTATATTTACTCAAATATATATTATATTCTGCCTAGTTTTTCCGTCGCGGGGGAATTCGCCCACCCCAAGGAACATGCGATGGTGTCGTGCTCGGACATTGGACCCCACGAAGCCGACATGCTGGCGGTGACGGGGCACGCGGACGGCAGTCTGGTGTGGCACGTGCTGCCGGACGCCGACGGGCACCTGTCCGTGTTGGGGTCGGTGGGGCGCTTCCTCAACCTCAATTCCAAGCTCAAGGTGGTCAAGGGCACGGTGCAGCAGGCGCAGAAACTTGCGATTTCCACCATCGACAACGCCCACGCCGTGTCCAACACGGCCAAAGATATTGCCGACGAAGCCAAGTCCATGATGCAAACCATCTTTGGGCTGTTCAAATAGCAAACACAATCTCTATATATATATTAATTATACTAGTTACCAGTGTTTTATTCCTATGAACGTTAGGATATACTGGTACTAAGTATTAATACTGTGTAGCACTACGTAATTCTTGTGTATTTCAAATATCCCAAATCTTCCAAATGTAAAGTTAATAATGTTCTTGCATTAGCAGGTACTATTAGTAGTAGTACGTTCACATGTATACTACTCGTAAGAGTAAGTTACTTTTTATTCCTATTACGATACAGTACCGGTATACTCAAAACATATCAAGCGTAATAGTATGATTCCGAGTAGGATATATATTTCAAATATACGAGTATCCATCACAATTCTTCGACTTCCAATGTCCTATTATTTCCGTACTAATATCTACGTCTGGCGCGACTGGCGGCGGTGGTGGTTGGCCCGCGGCAATGCTGGCGAAAAGCCCGACACGAGGTCCAGCGTGGTTTTCGCCGGTTGGTGGTACTCGAACCCCTGGGACACGACCATGAACCCGGCCAAGTTGACGAGGACGAGCGCCGCAAACACGTAAAAGACATACTCGAGATGGCCCGTGTTGAGGTCGCTGGGGATCCAAAACGAGAAAATGCTGTTTGTGCCCCCCGCCACCAACGAGCCCAGCGTCGTGGTGAGCAAATTCAGCGCCTGGCACACGCTGCGCATGGATTCCGGCACCTCAGAGTAAAACAAATCGTACGCTACACAAAGTTGATCAGTGTCAGATAATTGTACTGCGTAGGACGTGGTCGTACAAGGAATGCTCACGAGTATTTCGGCAATCCCGACCAAGAGGTACTGGGGGCTCTGCCACCACACGCTCAACTGGGACATGGCGAGGTGCTCGCCGGGCTGGGCGCAGTTGGAGTTGAGACCCGGCAACACCCCCGCATCCTTGCGGGCGGATTCCGTCAGACCCGCCACGAGCATGCAAGCTGTGGCGACGACAAACCCGATGCCCATCTTGCGCAGCAGCGTCAGTTTGACTCCGCATGACTCGACGACGGGGTACAAGACCGAGTTGAACACTGGCACAAACACAAGGATGACGATCGCGTCAAACATGGATAGCATGGCCGACGAGATCTGCGCGTCGCCGACGCGGAGGTCCATCTGGCAGCCCTGCATGACAAAGTTCATGCTTTGCTGGGCGTACACGGCCCAAAACACAATGAGGAAGCTAAAGTACGGCGCCAACCGAACGACTTGGGCCACTTCCTTGACTTCGCCGAGCGAGTACTGCCCCGCATCCGCCGCCTGCAGCACCCACGACGTGTCCTGGCCAGACGTGACCAGCACCAGCGTGCCATACACGATCATACCCGCGCCCGCCAGAGCCACGGCCAAGTGCAGCGTCGGGTCTTGGATGAAGTAGGACGCCGTGGTCGTGACGATGGCGGGAATGAACACGAGGCCGCCCGACAAGACCACCTTGCCATGGAACGACTTGGCTCCAGCGCACAACAAGATGTCGAAGAAGCGACTCAACGCGCTGCCCTGCGGCGGCTTCTTCACGTACCGGTCGCGGCCGGCGTAAAAGATGCACACAGCCAAGAAGAACGAGATGGACGGAATCAGGAACGACGCGAAGAACCCAAACGATTCGGGAATCAACGGCGGCAAGCCTTGCACCGCCAAGTTGGTGAGGAAAATGTAGCTAAAGGTCGACCCGAAGTTGATGGACCAGTAAAACCAGTTGAAGAAATCGTCCTACGACCTTTGGTTAGAGATGGATGTGGAGAGAGACCGCTATGTACCCGCTGTTTTCGCTGCGATGGGTCCGTGACGTCGAATTGGTCCGCGCCTAGCACCACTACGTTTGGCTTGATGCCACCGACTCCCATCGCAACGCCTCCGAATAACCCCGCCATGAACAACGGCATGGACATCACAGCAGGATGCGCAGCAATCGTACACACCACCAACCCCGCCAAGTACCACAACGAGAACGACAAAATGCTACAGATAGAGTCAACAATGAGGCGCGCAGCATGTCAAGTGAAGGGGGATTGTCAAGACTGTTGTTACCTTTTGTAGCGACCCATGTGCCGATCGGCAATGTATGCACCAAAAAGGGGCATGATGTATGTGAAACAGGTAAACACGCTATTGAGCTCTGTGGCCAAGACACTGCTCATGCCCAAATGCTTCCGAAAGAAGATGGGCAATGAGCCCGTGAACCCGTAGTACGCAAAGCGTTCGCAGAACTACTTAAACAAGCTCAGCATCGTGGACGGAGTCCCATGCATGTTACCTCCGTCACGAGGATGAACGAACACACGCTGAGGATAATGGACTTGTAAGCCTTCTTGGGGGTCGCGGTGGCATCTCCGTTTACAGCGCCAACGGGCAGAAGAGCTTCCTTTTCCCTCGATCTGGAAGATGCGCTCATCCCTTAGGGAATTCGATTGTGGGTCAGGGGTAATTTTACAACCAATTTAAAAATCAGAGGGCAAAAAGATGAATTCAACAAATACAAAGGATAAGCTATTGATGTCAAATTCAAATGGAATCGCCCACACTTTTTAAATACTGTTTTTAAATCAAGCACGTTGTTGGTGACCACGTCATCCAAACATCGTTTGAAACGTGTTTCAAACAATAACAAACGGTTTCAAACGATTGGATGATATTATCCGGACGAGATTGCACTGGAATCCGGATCATGCGAAGCGAAATTGACAATAATCTCATGAAAGTCGTGCTGGATACTGATGGCGGGCTTGACGACGCGCTGGCCATTTTGACAGCGGTGAACCTACTACCTCCAGGCACAGTGGTTGGGATTACGACCGTCTTCGGCAACGTGGATCTGCACCAAGCCACCCACAACGTGAAGAAGTAGGACATGCTCCACCACGACTTGGTAGAGACACTTCAACGCGCTCGTAGGGTTCTCGAGGTCTCCAAGGACCCATCGATTCCAGTGTACTCTGGCGCCCGCGCTCCACTAGTGTCATCAGTGGAAGCAACAGAAAAGTGGGATGTATGTCCATCTCCGCCATCATCGTATCTATCGGTTTGTCACTCCCACTTAGGGCCATGGCCCGGACGGAATGGGCGGCGTCGCTGGCATCGCCGAAGACAGGGGTGTTCAACCAAACGACGCAGTTCCTGCCTTGATCAAGTACGCCCGGATGTACCCTGGCGAACTCGTGGTGATTCCCATCGGCCCAGCGACGAACATTGCACTGGCCATTGCCGCCGACCCATCGTTTGTGTCGAATGTCGCGCAGGTGAGTTGTCTCCTTCTCCCCCCATATATCCCATCGACGTCCATTAGGTGCTGTACATGGGCTGCACCATCAAAGGCGAGGGGAACGTCACCCCTCATGCCGAATTCAACACGGCCTGCGACCCAGAAGCATGCCAGGCGATGCTCACGGCGTTCGCGGGCAAGCTCACGGTGGTCGGGTGGGAGTTCACGCTGGAACATGGGCTTCCGTGGTCCATCTACCACGACTTGTGCGCCATCGACACCCCCGAAGCCCGCTTCCTCCGAGGGATCTGCGCCACGTACGAAACCCACCAGCATGAGATGCCGTTTGTCCTGTGTGACGTGTACACTGCCGTGCTGCTCGTCGACCCCGCCTATGTTCTGCATTCCAAGGTTCGTTTCACGATCCTTCCGACCTTTGTTCACGGAACTGACTTGTGTTTTAGCTGGCCACGTGCAGTGTCAACTTGTCGGACGGCCCCCTCCGAGGCGCGTGCACGTGGACAGACGCGACGGACGCGGCCGCCGCCATCAAAGTGATTTGGAAGGTCGACAACGATCGCTTCGTGAGTGTGTTGCGGCGACTGGTGCAAGGGGATGTCCATCTCTATCTCGATAAACCTTAGAGTGTGATCATCTGGACCTATAGTGCTCAATACAGTGTAATATTGGGGCTCCTCCACAACCATAAACTGATAGACTTTTCGATACCAGAAAGTACGTTTTATAATGTCAATTCGTATTATAATGTTATAATGTCCGTCGGTGTGTGAAATCAGCACTTGCACAGCATCGCAGAGCCTTGCACTGGTCTCGACATTGAAGTGCATATGATGGTAACGTTACTCCATATCTCATCACGTGTCGACATTGTACTACCTTTTTGATAGTAATAACGGCAATGTAGTTGCAGTTGACGTACACATCGGTCCGTCTCGTACGTTCAGAATCAACTCAGTATGCATGTATACCGCAAGTAGATGGGCTTCGAAGGTCCATGGAGGTAGTAGTACATAACACACACGGCGGAACTGTGACAGAGTGTCCTTCTAGATGTCCATCCACAATCTCATGAAAGGGATGCAGCAGCTCCTCAAAGGCTGTCCTCGGATGCGAGTGGAGCTTACAAATTACTGCTAATACATTTATACTTACACCATAACCCACCACAATGAACAGCTCCATGATGACTCTTCTTGTTTAGCCATTCTCAGACGAGATGTCGACGGATCTATCAATTTCCCACTCCCATCGAGTACTGTAGTGTCCAATTCACATCGCCATGCGCCCTGCGGTTCTCTTCGCCCTGTTGGCGTTGCTGTCCATCCTGACAGCCACCACTGCGACCCCCCCAAGCGTGTTGTTGAGACGTCGACTACGCGCCCAAGAAGTGGACGAAATGACTTTGACGACGCTGCTTCCCGTGGTGACTGCTTCGGTGGCTGGACCTCCGGACAACGTGACACCGTTTCCGCTGCCAGTGGCCATCATTCTGGGCCTCCTCGCGGTTCTTGGGGTCGTCGGCGCGGCCGTGTACGTGGTCCGAACTGCTCGCAGCGACGCCATGCGAAAGTCCGACACTGAATGCACCACCGTCCTCCACATGGACGGCTTCCTTGGCATGTAGCAGTATGTCGCCGTCTTCACGTTTATACAATTATGTGACATCGTTGTTGTTGCTATACATCCCCTATATATCATCCACTGCAGAGTTGGAACTGTACGAGCACTTGGGGGGTTCGACCAGGTTAGCGGGGTGATATTACTATCAAACAGTGACTAAATATACTCACGAACTATCCTCTGCCCATCACCACCACGATGTATTATACTGTCAAGTGCCGAGCAAGAAGGGAATAGCGTATAAGTGCATATTCAAAGAAAAGTGAAGTTTGATTCAACGGAAGAAGGAAGCCAGCTGCTCCTACGCCAGCGCGAGCTTGACGTTGTTCTTCACGGCGACGCTCACGTCCGGGTGCACCGCGCGCACGGTGAGGCGGAACGAGTTGCCCTGGCTCTCGAGCTTGAGCAAAATGCCCACCGAAATCTTCTCGCCGGACGGAGACGCCGTGCCCGTGCGGAACGTCGCGGCCAACGACACGCCGCCCGATACCTCTCCCTACGAATCAACCCGAATTCAATCACAATATATATATATATATATATATATATATATAAAACAACATTACAAAATATTAATTAATCTCCAAATCGTACCTCCACAAGGCCAAACTTCATCACGTCCACCAACAGCTTGGCACTCGCTTGCACATCCAGCTTGGCCGTAAACACGTCTTGCTGTTCTCGCCCCTAACATCGACCATCAGCACCATAATATAAATATATATATATATATATATATATATATATATATATAGTATATATATATCTACTACTGGTTAGGTCAAGAATATATAACATGTATCGAACGAAGACACAAACAATCACATCCCTCTAAACGACCGCATGAATACATTCATACCTGGCCTTCGAGCGCGCCCCACCGCTTGTGGAAGTCTTCGACACTGAGCTTGACTGGTTCCAAGAAGCTCGTGGCCACGCACGGCAGCTTGAGGTCGATGGACGTGGAGAGTCCAGCTACGGTGTACGCTACGACGACTTCGACCGGCTGCACGAACGGCTGCATGCACTCGACCATGATCTGCTGCTTGAGTTGCTGCTTGGGCTGCAGTTCCGTAGCCACTTGCTCCACTTGCGTGCGCAGACTCGGCACTTGCTTGACCATCAAGCTCAAGTTGGTCACCGCCACCGAGCCCTTGTTGCCGTAAAACAGCCCCATGCGACCCTGCGACCCGCGGAACTCCTGTTTGACGCCAATTTGAATCACGTCGTTCTCAAACAGCACGCCCTGATTGGACCCCACGACCTTGTTGAACCACGCAGCGATCTTGGCCGGGTCCACCGAGTCGTTGCCAACACTCGACGACCCAGTTGGTCCCCCAAACACATCCACCAAGCCCCCGCCGTTGCCGCCGTTGAGTTGCTGCTTCTGGTTGGTCGGGCTCGACAGACCCAGCAAATCACCGGCGCTCTCGTCGTCGTCGTGTCCTCCGCCCGACGACGACACTTCCTGTCCTTCATCTCCACCCTACATATATGCACTCGATTCATTCATCGCTGCATATTCGTTTCCACCAAACAAGCAAACGCACCTCGGCCGCATGTTGCTGCGCGCGAAGTCTCACGACAAGGTTGGACTCTCTCGTGTCGGGGAACACGGGCATGGGCTCCAGCACGGTCTTCATCACGTCGTCGCCCGAGTGGTGCAGCGTAAAGTACTCGCACGCGCGCTGCTGGGCCTCCAAGTCGACGTGGGACGTGCCTCTCTTGAACACATCCAGCACCCGCGGACGGATGTCTTCAAACAGGTTGTCCATTTTGATGAACGCCGTCAGGATCACGCACTTGGTCGCGATGGAAGACCCCGCCGTGTAGTGCTGCAGCAGCACTTCAAACTGGCGACTGCTCGACATGTCAGGCTCGTCCACGTTCAAAAACCCAAACTCCCCCACCACGTACGCGCCAAACTAGTCCGTCGTCACCAATGTCGTCACCCCAATGCATGCGTTTATATATTGTCACCAAGAATGTCGTCACCACTGTCTTACCTTGGCGGTGGTTTCGTCCACGTGCTTTGGCTCGAGCGCGCGAAACATGACGGCGGCCGTGTACTGCTGCAGGTGTTCGTTGTTTGTCACGATCTGCACCACGCGGTGCCACACGTCGTCGGGGACGTCGGCGCCCGCGACCGTGATCAGCTGGAGCACTGTGTCCACGTACCACCGCAGGTCCTTGGCGTACCGCTCGGCCAAAATCGCGGCTTTGAGCACGATTTCCTCACGAATGGTCGCGTCCGCCACGGCCAAGTACGTGACGAGCTCCCCCACGATCTCGACTGCGTTTGAAGGGTCGCACATAGCGAAGAGCAGGTCCAGGGCGCGGCGACGGACGCTGTTGTCGGCGTCTTTCAATGAGAAGATCACGGTGGCCTTGTGCTGGCGGATAGCTTCGGTCGCGCCTTCAAGCCGTACCAGGCGGTTCATCGAGTCCAGGCCGATGTACCGGATGTTGGGCTCGCTGACCGAAATGAAGCGCGCGAGCAGCTGGATGGCCTGCTCATGGAGTTTGGGGTCGGCCCGCTTGCCGTGGGAGATGACGAGGTTCACAGTCTCGAACAAGACGGCGTAGATCGCGTTGTTCTTGGCGCCTTTGCCTGGACTCGGGCGCCCGAGAATCTTGCGCAGAGTGTCGTTGAGCTTGTCGGCCAAACGCACGTCGTCTGGGATGCCGAATTGCTGCAGGATGCGCAGCAGCTTGATCTGGAGCCACGGACTTGGCGTCGCGTAGTACATGTAATCGCGTGGGCAGCCCTAGCGAGAGAGTCAAGTGTCTGCCGTGGGGCGGAACGGTATAATACCTTGTTGTGAACGAGTTGGGCCAGGCGGTCGAGGACGATCTCGACGAGCGACTTGTACCCGGTCGGATGCTGCGTGAGCGCCACCTGCAGTAACCCCGCCGCGCTCGTGACGACGCCAAGATGGCGATCTTCCAACAACCTACGAGGATTCATATGACATGAGCAGGATGGTCATCATCATGACGACGACGACGATCCATAGAACGAGGCGTACGTTTGGAGGCGCGGCTCGAGCTCTTCCGGCAACACGACGTCGGGGATGGCCGGGATGATGCGACGCAAACATAACGCCGCCTTCTTGCGGACGTGGCAGATGCTGCTGGAGCTCATGAGGAGCTTGACCACGTGCGGCGCGAGGGTTTCGCACAGCTCCATGCCTGTAGACTAGAAGGTGAGATACGATGATGGATGGGGGGATGGACAGTACCGCCGAGGTTGGCGACGCAGCAAAGCGCGAGGCATTGAAAGGACGCGTCAGGGGAGCACAGGTCGTTGAGAATCGAGTTGATGACAAGGGTCATGAGCTCGTCGGAACTCTTGAGAAGGATGGACACGCCAAGATACCCAAGGCATTTTTCAGAGTACTTAGTACCCGACACGAGGTTGATGACCTAGGATACACGTGAGGAGGCAACTCCATGTCAGGGGGTTGTTGTGACGCTCCCACTGCACACTACATGATACATGCACATACCTGCATGTGCCCAAAGTCAATGTCATAGCCGAGCATGTAGATGTAGATCAGCTTCCACGCGTACTTTTTCTTGTCGTACGAGTTGAGTTGGCCCGTCTGCGTGAACTTCTGGCGCAGTTTGTTGAGCTCCTTGTCGATGCGCTTCTGCTCGTCGTCGGCATTCGTGCAAGACCGGATCTCGCTGATGAAGTTGCTCAAGCCTCGGGCACTGAACAGGGCCATGCTGCCACCACTTTGGTTGAGGGAATGACGAAGAAACCCAGAGAGAGTTTCGACTCTTGTGCGATCTTTGAAACACGCACGATCTTTTCTTCTCGGCGGGTCATACCGAACCTCGATCTTGAGATTTGTATGCAATCACTTCATGAGGTCGTTAAACCCAGGGTGAGTCGCTGGCGGTTTCACTTTTCACGACATGGTCGGATTTCAGGAAAAATACGCAAAAATACACCAATTTCCATCGTTTTTTGGAATCATTACCAAATGTTCATGAATAAAGTGCCCCTTTATCCAGCATTCCGGATAACATTCCCCAAATCGAAACGGTAACGTGATCTCTGTCAGCGCCAATGGCGGCGACAAGGACATGATCCAAGCCGCCAAAGTGCTCAGTGTTAACCAAGACATGACGGACGCGACTGCTTAATAAAACCAAGTATGGCATTCAAGTTGGGTTAGGTTGGCATTGACGTCACTTCATACTGCAAGGATCGATTGCTCTTGTACATGGATGCATGCTCCTATGTGGTCAATGCCTTGGCGTTTGTTTATATGGTGC